CCTCCGCTTCCTCTCCCAAGCTCCTCCGACCCACTCCGCAAGCGCCGAAGGGCCTGGCGAGCCGCTCATCCCGACTTCTCTTCTGGTGCGCGCGCTCGCCAAGAAGGTAGTGTCAGATTGCAGGCGGCATCGCAGTCGTCCGGGCTGGGCCGTGCGCTAGGTGCACAATCATTGCGGGATAAAGAGCTGGATGTCCCCGCGCATTTTGCGGTGCGTAGCGAGATGGTGGGCAGGAAGAACGCCGCCCTTTTCGAGCTGGTAGAGATGGGCGCGAAAGGTCAGGGACGAGTAGAGGTCAGGTTGAGAAGGCGGGCCGGATCAGGAGCATGAGGGCCAGCAACCTTGAGCGGGTCACAGGGCTCTCAGAATCTATCTCTCTTCGCTGTCCTGTAGTGCATGGCTCTCCCTTGTGCGATGCGCGTGAGGCTGACTTCCGTCACTGTCGAGCGAGTGGAAGCCAGCGTCTGGAAGGGTTGTTGCGATCATGACGACTCCCTGTGCCAACTTATCCTCCTGCGCTGTTCGCTGCAGCTTCATCCGAGAGTAAGCCGTCCGCTTGCAGACCACTCTTGAAACGTTGCTTCCAGTCCTCGTCCAAGTAAGCACAAATCGTATCCAACGCGATGTTTCTCCTCGCTGCTGCTCTCTCTTCCCCTGTCGCATCGGCTTCTACAGTCTTGACGAGCTGTCTGCCCAATGTAGAAGAGGCCTGTTCGAAAGTGTCTTGATTCTCCAGCTTGCTGAGCTTGGAGCGGAGCAGAGAGAGCACCCTGCTAGCCGATGGGCGATACGTCTGCAATGTTGAACTTACATCTGAAGCGATTCGAGCACACAAGATGGCACACGTTCCAATCAGCGCCTGAAACACGCGCACGAGCCGCAACACCCGACTCACTCATCACTTCGCAGCTTTCCTCTAATCTTTCCTTGACGGCTTTGCTACTCGCTAGGCTTTGCACATCCTCCCACTCTCCCTCCTCTTCATACTTCTCAAGATTCTCATTTTTGGTCCTGTTTGCTGCTTGCTGCGCATTCAGTCCCCGCGCATGCTCAGCGTACAGCTTGGAACTTGCTCTTTGCAATAGATCTTCGAGCGTGAGATAGGCTGCAGGAGGAGAATCTGCCTGAGATGGATTAAATCAGACGAGTCAGCTGCGTGTATGCGCCTGACTTTAGGCCATTCGTCAGAGTCGCTCACAATCGCGTAATTCAGCGCAGAGTATATCGGCAAGAGGACAAAGAGGGGGTCGATAGGGGTGAAGATGTGC